CAAGTATTGGCACTCTCCCATAATAGATGAAATGATCGAGACATTAAGGCACAAGAAACCTTAAAAAGTCATATCCTGCCTCTTGCCTGTAGTAAGTACGGTTTATAGAACTCTGCTCAGTGCCACAAGGAAACCAAATACAAAAGAATTACACTTGAAAGTGGTGAAAAGCAAATTGACTCTATGCCATGTGCAATGACAAGAAACAACTTTCGCAAAATTTGTTGCAAGTTCTTTAAATGTAATGATTGCAAGTTTCCAGGTTTGGTAAAATTATTCTAGAATTGGTGAACTAATCAGAGAATATCAATTTATGAAGAAAACGTGTTTTGCACATGTATCAAAATATTTGTATTATGCACAGTTCTGAAATAAGATACCAATTTGAATCATATCCAAGGTCTGTCCAGCAGTCAAAACACCGTGACAAATGGAGTAATCAGAATGAACATAAACATCCATAAACAGACTGAAAATGGACATACATAATTGTAACCTTTTTACCATTTGTCTAGGTACGATCAAAGCCATAGGCACAACATCTTCGGCTTGTTTAGCCATTATAATTTGGTTTGTGAACGATGATGAGTTCCTTGAAGAACTCTACAGATTGACTGTTTGAACTGTAATGATAACTGGATCGCACATTTGTTGTGCTGCCACAAACACATCCTCAAAGCCTCAAGTAAGATATCCAAAAATAGTCTCTGATTCTACTGTTTGCATTCTCGCTGTGACTGGCAAAGCAGCAGGACTTATAATATTATTCAGAAAACTGTCACTCCTGATATCCTACATCCTAATTACCTTGTCCATCATGAAGAAATACATGCTAAATATAATCTGAGTCATAAAGGACATACAATGGAAGTGGTCAACTTCAATTACTTTTGAAAGAGGTTGATTCAATGGATGTTAGTTTGCTCAGGTAAAACAGTGTTCAGTGACTTATTCATGGGTTGAATGTTGAAAGTCTCAATTGAATAAAATTACTTTTTGTTATAAGAAACAAAATTATCCTCAGTTAGATAATCTCCAATGACTTTTCAATAAAACGTTCTTTACTGACTTGTGTGCTATTTGAAGAATGAGTTAAATGGGAAATTGTAAGATTTAGAGAATCCAATTTATGTCACACTCGGTATCATTATAATATCTGAAAAGAAAATCATAATGACTTCAACAACCATAAGCGGAGCATTTTCCTTGGCTGAAAAAATAGTTGAGTGATTTTAAATTTCTTGAGGATCTGGAGATAACTTTAAAGCACTCTCAGGTAACATTATTGCAGCATAAGAAAATCTGGATAAATTTTCTTCATTCATACTGATGAATGAAGAAAATTTATCCAGATTTTTGGACTTAAACCATCCTGAGGATATAGTAAAATTTTTGTATATGAAGCTCAAAATATTCAACAAGATTGCTTTAACTAACTTTGAAATTGAGTAGACTGAAGTTTATATCATCTCTTTTTGATGTGATGTATTTGCTGAACAAGAAAATCATACCAAAGAAAGAGAAATAAACGTTCACAAGGTTCTGCAAAGTTGAAGATGGAATGACAATAGGTTAAAAACTTTGACAGCACTGTTAATCATTTTTTGTATCTTTATACACTTGTGGAAGTGAAATTTCTACAATCAATCTGAAATCAGATTTCGTGACTATGAAGATGAATTATGAACCTGATATAAGAATTAGCAGATAATATGAAACATTAAACTTTTTATTAATTTGGAAATTATTAATTTATTTGAAACAGATTGTAACATAATACAGATACAAATTTTAAGAAATTAATATAATTATTGGGAATATAGAACTAGAGCAAAACATTTTCCTCTGAAGTTTTTGTTTGGAGCCTTAAGAAGATTTACCATCCTTGCGGTTAATTAATTTGGAAAGATGGGTGGAATAAAAATTGGCAGGGTAAAGCGAAGTACTCGGAGAAAACATGTCCCAGTACCACTTTGTCCACCACAAATCCCTTATAAACTGGTTTGGGATCGAACACAGGCTGCTGTGGTTTTCAGTATTAATTTATTATAGATGACCAAGGGCCAAAAAGAAGTGTTACTTAAACAGGCCAAAGAAATAGTCCTAATGTTTCCAGTAATTTTAAGTAAGAAGATGCTGTGCCTTCACTGTGCAACATTCCAAAAATACAACAGCGAACTGCCAAAGCTTGTGGTAATACAAAATTTAGGATTCTGAGGAGAATTGTGGCGCCAAATCATCCCTGAAAATTAGTTAAAATGTACATTTTGATCTCCAAAACAAACAATAATAACACCAC